TGAGTTTGAGGTTTACTGTGCTACAAGTGGGATTCGAAGGTTGAAAACAGTCCAAAGAAGCCAAGACAGAATTGAGTTGTTGAACGCATGAACAGGACGATCCTAGAGTGTGCAAGGAGTATAAGGTTACATTCTGGGTTACCTAAGCAATTTTGGGCTGATGCAGTAAATACCGCTATGTATTTGATCAGCAAGAGGCCTTCAATTCCGTTGAATTGTAGATTGCTAGAGGAGGCTTGGACAGGCAAAGAGGTAAATTAATCTTATTTATGAGTTTTTGGTTGCATTGCCTACATGCATCTAGAATTGAAGGATAGGGATAAACTCGATACTGAGTCTTGTAAGTGTGTGCTTATAGGCTATGATACTAATAGCTATGGGTATAGGCTGTATGATTTTGAGAATCAAAAAACACGCAAGAGTATTGATATGGTATTTAATGAGTCAATTTTATACAAAAACAGACAAAGTCAACCCAAGGAAACTAAGGTAAAATTAGACTTTGTAGAGTTTGAGGGGATCCCTAACAGATATATCTTAGAGCCTCAAGATACTAATACATAATATACTCTACTGGCAGATCCATATACTCCTCTTTTTAGAAAGACTACACGTACGGTAAAATTTTCAGTACGTTATTCTCCATCTTTGAATTATTTATTGTTAACTAATAGCGGTGAACTAGAATGTTTTAAGGAAGTATTGCTGGTTGAGTCCAAAAAGGAGTGGGAGCATGCAATGGATGCTGAGATGTATTCTCTCTTATCTAATCAAACTTAGGAATTGGTTCAATTGCCCAAGGGGAAAAGAGTTTTGCACAATAAGTGGGTTTACATAATTAAGAAAGAATCTTATAGGAGCAAACGGTACAAGGCAAGATTGGTAGTGAAAGGTTTTGAGTAAAAACAAGGTATTAACTACATTGAATTCTTTTCTCCTGTTGTTAAGATTTCTACTATCAGATGTGTCCTTAATATTGTGGTTATTGAGAACCTAAATTTAGAGCAATTAAATATTAAAACTACTTTCTTTCTTGGGGATTTGGAGGAGGACATTTATATGTATCAGTCATAGGGTTATGTTGTGAAATATAAAGAGAATTAGGTATGCAATTTAAGGAAGAGTCTATATAGGTTGAAACAAGCTCCGAGGCATTGGTATAAAAATTTTGATACCTTTATGGCAACTACGGGGTTTAGTAGATATCATGGGGACCATTGTTGTTATATTAAGAAACTTGGTACGTCATATCTCATACTTTTTTTGTATGTAGTTGATATGCTTATTGCAGATTCAAGCATGAATGAGATTGTTAATTTCAACGCACAACTGTCAAAAGAGTTTGCAATGAAGTATTTGGGCTCTACGAAGAAAATTCTTAGGATGCGAATTAGTAGGGATGGGGTAAACATGAAGTTGAAGTTGTCACATGAGGAGTATGTTGAAAAGGTGCTAAAAAGGTTCAACATGGAGAATGCTAAGCTAGTTAACACACCTTTGGCAAGTCACTTCAAGCTTTCGAAGGAAATGTGTGTAGTAACAGATGAAGAGCAAAACTATGGCAAAAGTTCCATATGCCTCGGTGGTAGGCAATTTGATGTATGTCATGGTTAATACAAGGCCAAATATTACTTATGTAGTGGGAGTTATCAACAGGTTCATGGCAAATTCGGGCAAGGAGCATTGAAAAACAAGCAAGTGGAATTTGTGCTACTTGAGAGGTACTTCAAATTTGGCTTTGAATTTTGGGGGTTCTGATGTTTGTTTGCAAGGGTTTGTAGATTTTAATTTAGCAGGGGACATTGACAGCAGAAAGAGCACTACAGGGTATGTTTTTACATTGGGCAGTGCAGCAGTCAGTTGAGTCTTAAGGCTACAGAAAATAATGACTATTTCAACAACATAGACAAAGTATGTTGCAGCCACGGAGGCATGCAAGGAGATGATATAGTTGAGGAGCTTCATGAAAGAGTTGGGTAAGGAACAAGACAATTCTAAATTGTTCAGCGATAGTTAGAGTGCGATAAATCTGACGAAGAATGTAGCTTTTCATTCGAGAACCAAGCATATCGACATAAAATATCACTTTATTCACCCTTTGTTGGTGGATGAGCAGTTCACTTTGGAGAAGATTCACACAAGGGATAATCCGACAGACATGTTTATGAAAGTAGTTACTGTGGAGAAGTTGAAGTCTTGTTCGGCTTCTATGGGTCTCTCAACTTAAGGACAAGAGGATGAGATGCAGGAATGAGGGACTATTTTTGGGAGGATTGCGGTTGATGTTGGTGTTTGAACTAGTCTCCAAGTGGGAGAATTGTTGAGCCTTTGTGGAGTTTAGTTTATGCGTTGATCTGAATGATAACCCAACTCAAAATAATGTTGCATGACTTTTAATGAAAACTTTTCTAAGGCTTAGTTCATGGAGCGGAAGCTTGGGCTGATAGGGCCAAGCCGTAACACTCATGAACAAGCCTCGTGGGGGTCTGAGGGCGTTGACCCTAAAGAAAAAAATTTTGGCCTGTTTTGTAGCCTGGTACATAGGACATATAAAAACTGTTACTTTGGTGATTATGGTTTGATTGGAATTGTATAGCAGCCCTTTATATTCCTTCTTCTCTATAGTGAAATCTCTACAATTTCATGGATGTAGGCAAATTGTCGAACCACGTAAAATCTGTGTATTGTTTCTTATTGTTTTATGTTATTGGTTTGTTCTTCGATTATGTGTGTTTGTCTGTGGGTTTAAAGCATATTAAATACCAACATGAAGTTCAATTTACCCATTTAATATTTTATTATTAATTAGTGATACCATATAATAATATTATATGATATCACCCTTGTATCGAATATTTACTCATCTATGAGTTACTTGGAGTTTACCCCCTTCTTTTAACTTGGAAAAAAAATTGCACACAAGCCTTAGAGAGGCTACAAATTTACACAATCATTACGGGCTGATGGCCTGTTATAAGGGGATAAGGATGATATATTAGACTCTAACTTGTTCAAAGGATAATATATTAGACTCTAACATGTTCAAGTAACTATTGGTAACCATTTTTGTTCAAAATATATTATTATTATTTATTCTTAATGTGGCGTTTGTTAGTCTATTTGCACTCAGACTTATTGGACAACTTTTTCATCAACTTTGTAGGCAAAAGCAAATTTTATAAGCACCAAAGGAAAGTTGAAAGTTTCTAAAAAAAAATTGATTTTTTCAAAAACACTCTAAAAAAGGTTTCAATAATTTTTTTAATTCTGATTTTTTCATTTTACTTTTCAAACATCTAAACCAGTCATTTTGGATGTATAACGTGTGCTAAAATGAATAAGAGGGTAGAAACTAAAAACCTACCTTCATGGTTTGATTTGAACAAGAGTGATTATAAGAAATTAATGGCATGTTTCGTAACTGTTTTTGTTCTGTATTTTGTATTTTTATTTTTAATTTTGATTAAAAATAAAAACAAAAATATGTTTGATAAATATTTTTGTTTTTGTTTGTATTAATTGTATTGGAGGCAAAGAGAAAAAAATATGAACAAAAAATTTGTGTTCTAATAAACACGCGAAACACAAAACACGGAGGTTTAGGTTTAATGAGGTCTCACCTTCGACTCTCGCTAGCCACAAAATACCATTCCATATGACAGACTATAAATATGGGACCTTAACCGTTTGTTCTCACCAACCCCACGACTCAGGAGATCGACAAATTCAAAGAGCTCTCAGCCCCTCTCTTCTCTGTCTCGGCAGGCTCTCTCAGCGACGAAGAAGACTTACCTCAAGAAAAGGGGCATCCAGGCACAGATCGACGAAGAAGGAGCTTCCTTTTGCTGTGAAGGTAAGTGTAATATGTATACTTGTACATATATATGTATATATATACATAAATCTTTATATATTTGCATAGATTTACATAGATCTGTACATGACATCCCCCATTTTTTTGTTTTATCTGTATATATTTGCATAGATCTTACATAGATCTGTACATGGCAACCCCCATTTTTTGTTTTATCTGTATATATATATGCATAGATCTTCCTTTTTTTTTTGTTTAATCTGTATTTTTTCACCACAATACACATAGATTTGGTTTTTTTTTTTTTCTGTTTGTCTCTCTCTTTCTCTATGTGTGTCGGTTTTTTTCATACATTGCTTCACATTCTATCTTCTATCTGTGAAGCACATGATTTCTTACGGAGAAGATAGCTGTATAAAGTGAGTTGCAGAATTCTGGTGATATTTAAGCCCATAATTCCAGATCAGTCTAGTTTGAACTGCACTGGCGAAAGGAGTTCGAGTCATAAACAAATCTCTTAATCGAAGGTTTGTCCAAATGATATTTATGTGTTCTGTGCTTTCAAAGCACTAGAAGAGAAGAAAAAAAGAGGGGAAGGGGGGTTACTGTACTTTACGAGTTCACTGTTCACTAATTATGGGTTTATAAATGGTAAGTGGAATAAATATTTTTCAGTATATGCTCTCAAGTGTCAGCTCATATGTTTGAGAACATTCATTCGGTAGATTTACCTTTAGCCTTGTAAATTATCATCTTCCAATTTTTCCTTGACAACTTAAATCAGTATTATCAGGAACAGTGGTTGATAAAGTAATTGCTGAGCTAGAATCCTGCGGATTCACATGTTTGATTGCTGGAATTGGCGGGAATGGTCTTGAGGTTTGTTTAGGTGGTTCGTCTTTATTTTATCCTGGGGACGCAATTAATAAATAGAAACGTTTGTTGTAACGTCAAATAATGGTATGAAAATGTATGTTTCCACAACCCTGTTCTTTTGATTATTGTTTTCTAGCCATTGTTGTTGTTGAATTCCTATACTTGTACTTCTATTTTTCATCAATGTTACACTTTAGAGAAATTTAAATTCCTAGATTGTTTATTATGTTGCTTGACATAATTGTGAAACTCATATGGCTTTCAATTTTAGAAGATGCTAGCTTTTAGTTAGTTTTCTGGGCATGCCATCTTGTTGCCATAGATAAAAGAGGATGTTCCTTATGATTTCTTTTGTATATAGACTATTTCTAAAGCTCCATTATAATTATCCCTGAACCGTTCAGTAATTGGACCCTGCCAACTCATAATTCATCCCCCTTTACCCTCTTATATTTATCCACTTTCACATCTCTTCCATCAAGTTGCTGATATGCCTCTTTAGTTCCCTTCGAAGATAGCTTATCAGATGGTCTCTCAGCTCGATAGCAGCCTCTGCTCCTTTCTTATTTCAGCTCATTTAGCAGCCTCAGTTATAGCTCACAACTCAAGGCTTACTAGTCCACTCCTTCTCTCAGTAGGATCCCCTCTGCTCAGTCATCTCTCACTGCTCAGGCTACTAGTTCTCTCGGTTCCAATTATCAGCTCATTTATAATCACTTGCAGCTGGTCTTTAATGCTGCCCACACCTCAGTTGCACTTTTCAGCTGATTATACTATTTTAGGAGCTGCATGTTTAGGATTTTATTTTCTTTTATTTATCATGTACTAAACATGCATTTTTGCTCTCTTTTCAATTTTATTCTATGTAATTGCTGTCTTTATTCCAGTTTGGCTGTTTGAATTGACTTTAAGCAGTTGCTGTCTGCTAGGATGGTTTTGAGGTTAGATGCTGGGATATTGACTTTTCATTTCAGTCTGGGCAGTTGGTAATCCTGACTGTTCTTGTCTGTTTTTGGAATAAGAAGTGTTCTAGGTGCTGCATTGCATCAAAGGGGACTGAATCAAGGGATTTAATTCTATTGAAGGATTAAAGCCAACTCTTGGTGGCTTTTTCTTTTTGCATCAGATGCTGGACTGGAGTTTGGAGGTGCTAATCTGAAGCTGCAGTGACTAGATCAGATAGCAGGTGCTGTTTCTTGTTATCTGCATTGCTGTATCAGAAGGAATTGGATTTATAGTTCAGACTGGACAGTTGCTGAACTGTGTGGTTTTACTCCTCTCTGCACTGGACTGCAATATGTTCTGGAGCATGTGAAGATGCTAAGGTGTAGATGTAGTGATGATCAGTCAGGGCAGGGGCTGAGATGTGATGCAGAGTTTAAAAACACCAGTTGTACAGGATTATAACAAAATTTCTTTTTTGTATAGTTTACTGTTTTTGAATTGTTAAAACAGTTACTGTTTTCTTAACAGTTTCTGTTTATTTGATTCTTGTAATGTTTGGATTCAATAAATAAAATTTCAAAAAAATTGATGATTGAAGTGATTTCTGTGGAAGTCTGCTTGGTTGCTGAACTGGTTGCTAATCTGTTATGCTTCAATGATTTTCTGCTAACTGGCAGATTGCTGCTGTGAGCAATGGTGCAGGAGCTGTGGTGGGGTTTATCTGAGTAGCTCTTTAAGCAGATGCAAATGAGGCAAGTCCCGTTTCTATGGTGATACATGCAGGCAGTCTGGGGTTGTGGGCTATTTCTGCATTTGATTTTCTGGACTGTGGTAATTAGTATTTGGTTTTAGTCCTCCTGAAGGATTAAAGCCAACTTCCTTGTAATAAGAATTTTCAATTCTTTTGCTTCTTGTAATTTCTTGGTTTTCATGGAATAGAATTCTCTCTTTTTCTTAAAAAAAAAAAAAAAAAATTGCAGCTGGTTCAGATTTAGACTGTTTCTGCAGTCTGCATTGGGACTGTTCTAGAATCTAGGTTGTTTTGCATTGGTCTATTTCTGAGTATGGAATGGGGTATGCAGACATGAGTTTTTTAAAAATTAAGGGGTCATAAATGTAATTAGAAATGGTTTAATCCATCTTGCAGGATTAAATCTATTTTTTCATACTTTTAGAAAATTTGTTCTTTGATTCTTGTAATTCTTTCTTTTTGAAAATACAATTTTTTCTTTCTTAAAAAATAATAAAATTTAGTCAGGCATATTTAGGATATTTAATATATATATATATATATATATATATATATATATATATATATATATATATATATATATATATATATATATATATATATATTATAAAGCATATTTAGGATAAAAGTGAAATAGTTACCAAACATGTTTTTTGTTTTTTATTCTCAACATTTGATAGACAAAAATGACATCCAAATATGTTTTCTGTTTCAGTATTTATCACAAAATAAAGACAAAAATTATCTTTGTTTTTTATTATTTTGAAAACGCGAAAACGAAAACGTTTCCGAACGACCCCTAAGTTCTTTTTGTAAAAAATCCCATCTGACAACACTTGATCAGTACCTTATGTGTTGAATTAATAATCAAAAAGTAGTCATTCCTCCGTAATGCCCAAGAGGAAAATGAAAAAAAAAAAAAACAATTGTATACTTAAACTCTTAAAGGCTCGTTTAATTACTGTATTCAGTATATAACTAGTTCCTTCAAAGGCAAACCTAGCCTGGTCTCAGCCCAACCTTTTAAAACCCAACAATTGATGGGTGTATGGATTTGTGAATCTTTGCCGCCCATTAAAGCAAACAATGAGTTCAAACTCAACCTTATATATATAAAATGAGAAAATTGGAGGGAGGTACACTCAATTATATACATACTTGTTTGAATTTCAAAATTTAATACATATTTATATATATATATATATATATATACTTGTTTGAATTTCAAAATTTATATTCACGTATATATAAAAATGTATATGTATATAAATTATATTTTAATATACATTAATTCATGCGTTATATATATATATATATATATATATATATATATATACACACACACTTAAATAAATATTTATGTATGTATATACTTATTGTTAAATCTCTTATCTAAATTTTGAATTATTTTTAATGCACCTTGATTCATGCATTTTTTTTTTGAAAAGTAGTTTTATTTTCAAATTAATTTAATATCCGAATAGTGTAATAATGTAACAATAACAGTGTAACAATAAAAGTATAACAGTGTTACAGTTTAACAATAATAGTATAACAAACTATTTACACAAAATATTGTATTATTACATTTTGTCAAACATATAGTTTTATATAATTTTATTCAAAATAGTCTATTCCCGTTTTGAATTTGTCACCACATACACCAAACTACTGAACACTGTTTTTGTTATAGTGTATTTGTTACACTGTATTTGTTACAGTGTATTTGTTACACTGTTATTGTTACATTATTACATTATTCGGATATTAAATTAATTTGAAAATAAAACCATTTTTCAAAAAAAAAAACGCTTGAATCAAGGTGCATTAAAATATAATTTGAAAATAAAATCACTTTCAAAAAAAAAAAAATACGCATGAATCAAGGTGTATTAAAGATAATTCAAAATTTAGATAAGAGATTTAATAACAAGTATATATATATATATATATGTGTATTAACATATATATATGAATCAAGGTACATTAAATACATATTTATATGTATTAACAAACACACATGAATCAAGATGTATTAAAGGTAAGAGATTTTGAATTAAATGACCTTAAAATGGGTATTTATGTCTTTATAACTCAGGTGTGTATTTTTTTCCAAAATATTTTGTTCTATATACTTTAAGTCAAATAAGTCTAATTAGGTATATCCACTTTTAAAGAGTGCATATAAAATTGCCTTAATGTAAAACTAGTGTTGTTTGAGGGTTGGGTCGGCCTATGTAGGTCCAACGTCACCACAAAAATGCCATGGCCCTATCCATTCCATTACCTGGTTGGGATCAGGTCTGGCCTGTCCCTAAAAAGAATTGGATTTCAAAGCCCTAGAGCCTAAAAATGACTTACTCTACCTTCAAAAGCATAGCATTTAGTAGTCTTAGGAAATTCTATTTGGTTAAATTTTTTTAATTTATATCTCGCACTTTTCTTTTGCCCTCGTACCCGAGAGAGAGAGAGAGAGGGGGGGGGGGGGGGGGGGGGGGGGGGGTTGAAGAAGGACAAGTAACACCAAATGCATGTGAGTTCAATCTCAAATTCATTTTGAAAGAGTGAAAATTGGCTCAACAAACTGTCTTGAAGCCCAAATTATCATTATACCATCTGAAGTACGAAAATAGTTTAAATTTTGATAATTCTTTGGGGGCAGATTATTATAAATATTTTAATCTTGACATAGATGGTATGTTTTTAACTGAACTGTGATAAGATTAGTCTAAGTATACGTAAACTAGCCTAAATATCCCTAGCCGTTAAAAAAAAAAAAAAAAAAAAAAGTCATGAAAATAATATATGGCTGATCATTATGTGAGAAATTGATAAATTCTTGGTAGGGCAGATAATTGAGTTGAGTGTAAAAAATATTTAAATTTGGCTCGTTTATAAATAAATCGAGTCCAAATTGAACCCAAAATGAGCCAATCTTAAACTCAGTTCGAGTAATTTAATTATTTCACATATAAATTAGTAGAGTATTAGGAGTTCAAACTGAATTTTTTAAACTTTTTTTTTAAATAAATTAAAAAAATTATTCAAATTCAACTAAAGCCCGAATCGAGCCTATAAGTTCCAACCAGATTATACATCTTCCCCCATTTTTTCATAAATAGAATACAACCTATGAAACAAAAGATAAAAATCAAACAAAGGCCCCACAGTGACATAGCTTCAAAGCTTTCAACCATGGCGCCGAAGCTAAGAAACTCCAAAACCATCCAAAACCCTCATCTAATTCTTGAGCCCGGAAACTTTTCCGAGGTCCAAAATGTACCAGAAGCTTGGCCTCCGGGCAATCATGGTCTAAACGGCGGCGTATTATCAAGGCACCACCCTAATCTACCCGGCCGACAATGTCAAGTATCCGTTGGTTAATAAGCACAAGACCAAACCCACCAAGCTCATGTCTATATATATTGAAACCTTTTAATTTGAAGTGAAATTTTTGTGGTTTTGATGTTTCTTATTTGTGAGTATTAAGAAAAGTATGATACTTGGATGGGACTGTCTTGGTGGTATGGGCTTGGAGGCTTTGGAAAGAACAGAGTAGTCTTTCTGAAACAACTTTCATCTGGGTCTGCTTTTTATTACAGGTGCGTTTGTCTGATTTGTAATTTTATACGATTTCTGCTATTATTCGTTTTTGACTGAAGTTGAAATGATCTTCAAAGATTTACATTGCTTCTTGTTTCTTTGTTGCTTCTAGAGATTATGACTCATTTCATCACACACACACACACACTCACCAGTACAAGAATGTAGCTCATGGGACTGATTTCCGGGCTTGGAATTGGATGCAAACATGTGTCAATTGATAGATGCATAACTTGATTTTAGTTAAATTTGCATTGATTTCATGGTAAGATATGGGATTATTACATGCATATACAGGCAAATTTCTTGTGTTTTATGCGCTTCAATTATCCAAATAAAGTATGATATCCACACAGACACAGCCCATTTGACGTTGGACCTCAATTTTGTGGCTTTACACCGTGCTGCGGCTTATCCAATTATTGAATTTGAAGTTTCTACTAGTACTTAGTTATCAAAAACTTCCCTTGCCAAAAAGAAATTTAGAAGAATATTACTATTTGAAATCTGTATGTAAGCAAACTTGACACCATGGTTTCCTACATCGGTTTATCAAACATCCCTCAATGTTAGGGTGGCCATTGTGACGTGGTTCATTTCATGTCAAAATACAGGTATTTCAATGAATGGGTCACACAAAACACCACATAATTAACTAATCGGACTCTAACAAGGCTTGATTATTATACGGTTGGCATGATACAAGCCTTTAGATGGGTTAAACAACTTAAAGGTTTATATACTTTGCTTATAAAATAATCCATGTACTAAAGCAGGTTTTGTGGGTTCTACTCATGTCATGGGTTGTATTTGTGTTCATGTCATAGACATGCCAAACAAGTTGATGTTAAAACCCCAAAACCTTACATTTAATAAACAGATTAGTCGTGCTAACCCGTCTATTACATGAACGAAGTTAAACTCACTTTGTGTCGGGTTTGAGTCATGTTGATGTGTCAGCCTAAGAAATTTCTATTCTTATTCAGTCTCTCTGTATGTGTCACAGTTATCTGTCACACATGCATACACTAAATTTTAGACTGCTTTTGGATTTTAACAAGCGAAATTAGAAATCTAGTTTAGCTGAATGGGAGTTATCCTAGAGCTCTGCTTCTAAAACATTTACATATTATATTTTCCTTCATCTAATTTGGGTGTTCCGTCTAGAATTTGTATGCTATGTACTGTATGGTTACCAAAAAGGAAGCTCTAAGCAGAGATTTTTTGGAAACAAATGATACTGGAATAACCTTTGCCTTGGAAGCTGATTTTTCCTATTATTTTGTAGGGGTTATTTCAAGTGTGAAAAGTAGAAATTAGAAAGTAGAAAACTAGGAAAGACATGTCAATTCATAGAAATTAGAAGTCCAGAGATACAGTAGAAATCAAATCAGAATTCTTAGGAACCTGCTTGTTCTGTTCCTCTTTTCAGAGCATGCTATCAGCTCGAGCTGGCAATCTTCTGAAGAAATTGCTGGGTACTGAAGGCATCTTGCTCCTGAATCTTGGGTGCCTTAGTGCATACAATCCTGCAACCAAAGTCACTATTTTGAAGGGTGTCACATAAAGAACCACTGCTGCACAAAGGCAGAAAACTATGTAGAGGCTTGTCGCTCTCGGATCTCTCCAGCTGAGCAGAGCATGAAATCTTTCCCCTTGTGTTGCAATGTCACCTGCCACTGTTTGAATTCTGCCTGCCACGCTCCGAAGCCTGTCGTACCTCATCCGCACTATATCTTGAGGCTTGGACGTAGGAAAAGTGTCAAACTCTTCATCTAGTTCATCTGGGTGAACTGCTGCTGCCCGTGAAAGTTTAGTATCCATGTGTGGAGGATGCCTCGGCCGGAAACGGAAATTCCATATTCCAATTATAAACATGTAGACGAAAATGGTTGGGAGTATCAGTTCTGGGTAGCAGATCAATATGCAAAAGAGGACATGAACTAGAATTGAAGTGATTGGGTTCTTCCAATGACGGACTTCACCAAGCCACTTGCTCATAGAAATCATGCTCGAAAACAGAGAAACAATTCTAAAGAAGTTAGCTTTGCTTCTTCTCATGCTCCACATGTGGGAATCCACATCCAACATGAATTCCACCACCTCTTTCCTCAGTGGAGGTTCAGCTCTGCCAAGCCTCACTGCTACAATGGTCATGGCCTGATATCTCAAACTATCTAATTGGTTCACTGTAAAAGGATGCAGATAATGCATTTTTGGCAGCAAGGGCTGGCCATAAAGATAGATCATATTTGTGAGAGACAAGCAAGTGAACCGAAAGGCAAGTTGGAGCTCACCCATTTTCTTCACTCCAGATGGTTGTAGAACAAGAAGTGGGTAAGAGTGAGTATAAATCCGATCCGTCTCAAGGGTTGACAACCGGATTCTTACCTTTCCAATTCTTGAGTCCCTTCCAGTTCCATTTCCAGCATTCCCTCCCAAGTGGCTGTTATCAAAAACTCCCAATGTGATTACTGTACAAGGGTCATAAACCTCCCATGTATATTGCTCATTCCATTTGGGACTAAAACTTTCGACTATTGTTCTGGTTCTCACCCACTTCTGTCCATACTTAGCCACACAGTAAGCATCTGTGGCTCCTCGGCCATCCTTAGTCTTCATTGGTTGAAGCCCTTGTGCACTCAAGATACCCACTTCAAGTATTCCAATTGGCTGCTTCCACAGTTGCCGAGCAGTAGGCCTTTGGTCACTGATATACATAGTTGATTCATCTAGTACATGGTAAGCACCCTCAAGGCAGACTCTGAGATGAACTCTGGTTGAAAACTTGATCTCGTTTCTCCTATCACCCTCTAGAACACCGAAACCAAACTTTTCGAGGTTGAACCAGCGAGGATATTGTACCGGCCGGTGATCCAATCGCCTCTCAAAGATGTTGAGTGGCAAACCTATCCTCCCCACAAGTTCATCTTTTGAAGGGCTCACTTTATTTTCAACCGTAAGCACCAACTGTTCTTCAAAAGGCTCAGCTGCTACAAAGATTAGGTCTTCATTCCAGAATGGGTTAGTTGTTCGGATTGGGCATGTCTTGGTCTTAAGTATTTGGTTTCCAACATGAGCCTTCACAAATACCTGAGGAGGTTGGCTTTTGTCATGGGATTCTACATCTTGAGCTTCAATCACATTAACTCGAAGATACCACAATTTAGGTGAAACATAAACCTTTGATCTGACACTGAAAACACCCTCTCCATGAACTGTAGCAGCGTCTGAATGCCATGCTTCTGGGAAAGCTTCATCAGCTTGTGTACCCATCCACACTGCGAGCATTATCTCCCCTTTAACCTTGCTTTCACCACGGCGTTCCTCTAGTCTATACCACTGAGGTGCCAAAGGGCTGTCTGGTGGAACCCTGGTGGGCACTTCATTCATGTCAAAGACCACCTTTCCTACATAATCATCCCTTGTTACCATCTCTCTATCTCTGACAAAAACTTCGAGGATTGAAGATTGAATCTTCTCTTTTGAGAATGCGAAGGCTTGGTTCCACTCAGGGTACGTTTTCTTCTCAAAGTGCTGTGTTTTACCTTTGTAGTTCCCGAGTTTCACCTCTGCATATGGATCGCAGCTTCCTGTGATGGGATTTGTGGGGAGATCTCTTGCTTTCACCACTCGAACATAAAGATATTGCATCTGTTCGACAAGATCATAAGTGCTTGTGGCCCTGTCGCTAATCCACCCCCCTCCACCACGTACTCCTCCATGTGGCCACCGCTCCCCAAGCTGGGGGTTTGTGTCCTTCAGTTTATAGTCATCTTGGTTGCTTGGAGGTGCGTGCGAGTTAATTTGGTGCATGGTTCAATGTGGTTCTAGTTGTATTCTTGCAGTTGTTTCTTACTGAAATCCACCAAAATGGCTGTTTGTGTATGTGTTTATATCTTCTAGAGAAGCAGAGTACTAGCAACCGAGGTAAAACTGATGACAGCTATACCAGCAGCAACAGCAAGGAGTTGAAATAGCTTGTTATGGGCAGAAGGAGTATTTGTGTGCTAAGAACTTAGATGAAGTGGCCATGTTGAAGATCAAAGAGATACATGTTTATATATCTTGGTTGATGGGATATCAAGCTAGTCCCACTTTTGACAAAGGGAAAAGAAGTTCATTTCTAGCTGGACCTGTTGATAAGCTTCTTCTCATTTTATGACTTTGAGCTGTAAATTGTTACCTTTCAAAGAAAGTTGCAACCTGAAATAGTTTGTTACTTTTGTTACAAGTGCCACCTTCACTGTCTCAAAGGTTGATACTCTTGTGATTGTTGAGGTTAAACAGGAATTTTGGGTCCTGAAAGGGGTTGAGGTTTTTGTTTGCAGGGTGAATTCTGTTCTCTAATCATAGAAAATTGGCTTCTTTAAACACTTTGGATGGTCCTTCACTATCCCCGTGAATTTTGTGTATTCACCCTATTCTGTCAGCCTTAAGTGCTTATTTGGTGGCTTTGTGGTTATGTTTGATAATGCTAGAGACAACCCACTAACCTGATAAGAAGTCGGTACGGAATAAGCGAGTTTGAGTTTAATTTTAGCGGCCTATCAAATAAATGGGTCGACATGAACGCAACTAAACATGACACGAACCCCCTAAACATGGTCTACACAACTTGAACAAGACACGACACAAACTCAGCTATGCACGGTTAGAAATGATTCTCGCAACCACATGTAAGCATGGTAGAGGGAGAACAAAGCTAAAGATCTTTGCTTTGTTTAAACGCATTACTACAAGTCTCCACTTTTTAGTATTATTTGCTTTGAAAGTGGTATAGAAAGCACCATTTGTTAGGTTTCAAATTCCTTAGTCTAGAAAAAAGATGTAAGATTCCCTAACAGAACAAAAATAGTCGTTTAGACTATGAAAATGCAGTAGCTTTACTTTTGTGGCTTTGTTAATTGGCAAACTGCACAGCTACCCCCATCTAATTTGGAAATTTAGGCTGAAATTCACTCTCTAAATTTTGGTTTTCATTTGCACCCATCAAATTTATATGCGTGGGCAACAGCAAGACCGACTCTACGAAGTCAAAATCGAATCTTTCTGTTGATATTCATTCTTTTGATAATAGGAAAATTTCACACACCCTTTTTGGCTATAGAACCCAATTTCTATTAATCATGTACATTGATTAAACAATAATCTTATGTAATTTAGAGAATTCGAATTCAGAAAATACAGGTTTGTACATCCTTCCTTATTCAACTGTCTAATATACATTAATGGGTTCACCGCAGTTGTTTTATTCAATTTGGATCAGTTTAGGGCTTGCCAAATGTCAACACCTTTTTATTTTTCATATGTAAAAGTGAAGGAATGCAAGCGATAATGTGTATAGATAAAGAGCATATTATAGGTAAAGCACTGCAGTGGAGCTTTAAGAAAAAGCAAAAGTAATACAGAAAGCTTTTGAGGTTTGTGATCTTGCAATAAAAAAGATGCGTTTGTAAGTATCAAAAAAAAAAGATGCGTTTGTCCTTTATTCTTTACCTTTATTCTCCTTTAATCTAATTTCTCATCATTACATTTTGATACTCATTACAAACATATAGTTTGTTAAGTTCATTTTGTTTTTGGATTATGCAACACTTTGCCCCTTCAACTTAGGACCCCTTTCAATATGATGCAAGGAGACGTGAATAAAAAAACGAGATTCGACAACATCAATTATAACTTGTTAATTATCACAATAATAGCATATTACAGTCTTCGACAGTCTTATATTCCGTTTGGTACGATAAAAAAGTGAGAGGATGAAAAATTGGAAGGATGAAAAGTTTGAGAGATAAAAAAAACATCATGTTTGGTAAGGAAGGAAAGTAAGAAGGATGGAAAAGTGGATGAATTAACTTTTCTTACAACTCACCAAAATCAATCCTTTTCAAAATCGGAAGAAAAGTGGATAAAAAATTAATTATTTGTGTTGAGATGTATCTTATTTGTCTATATATCTTATGTATACATTAATTTTATATAAAAATACAATGGTAAAATATGTATATATATTTTAAAAAATTTTAAAAATTAATTTTAAAAGAAAAATTAAAAAAAAATTAAATTAAAAAAAAATATTTTTTATCTTAACTAAGGGTGAAAATTTTCGACTCAACACAATGACGCAACTCAAACTCAATACGAAAATAAATAGGTGAACTCGCAATTTGACACGACACAATTAGTTAACTGAGTTAAGTTAGATTTGAGTAATATTCGACACAAACTTGTAATAACTCAACACAAATGTGACACGACATTACTTGATTCTATTGTCACCCCTAATCTTAGTCAGCATCAAAAAAAAAAAGAAATAGTCATTTTTATTTTTCATCCATCCAATCAAACACAAAAGAAAGAAAGTGTATTTTTCCTACTTTTCATCCTTGAAGAATATAAAGTTTATCTTTCCTACTTTCCATCCTCCCTACCAAACAGAGCATTATTGATTTTTAAGAATACCAAGTCAATTAAGAATTGAAAGAGAACTCGTCTTTGAATTTTATTCAAAATAATCAAAGTTGTTGAATAAGTTTTCAGCACAATATAAATAAGAAATCATAATGGTTCTAAATTACTAAAAAAGCTGAGCAAATATGCAATACCATGAAAACACCTCAAATAGTAGGATAAAAATAAAATAAAAAGTGTCATAAACGTTATTTTTTTGGCTAACATTGCTGAGAGTTTTTTAAAATAGAGTCTTATGAAATTTTTTGACACTATCATTCAAATTAGTCTTGATTGGTGCTCGATCAACGCTGTTTTCGACAGTCTTGATCTGTCATGTAATTTTCTACATACGTGTTTATCTTTCCACTTTATAATTTTTTAAACGAGAAATAAAATCTTTAAAATGAATTCCGAGTCATAGAAGATTCGCGAGTTAAATTTTTAACTTTATAACGTCACAATTTAATGACAAGGTTTAATTATAAGGACAATTTTTTTTTTATAAGGACAATTTACTACAATTGAAGTCACATGAAGAGGTTGCAAGTTTACTTTACACTTTATGTTTTTTTTGCTTTTTTTGGGACAAGAGCTTTTGTTATTACTTTGTTTGACTTCTTAGCACCCTTTTCTGCAGTGTAGATGTGAACTTTTTGTAGGTGTAATCAGAATTAGTTATAAAATTATGATTTTCTTTTTCTTTTTTGGGACTGCATTCAATCTATACAGTTGTTATTAACGTACGGGGTCGAAAGCATGGTTTAAACCCACACTTTTTTGTAACATATGTTTTATAAACACACTCTCGGAAGCATTTTTGTATAAAATAATAATAATAAAAATTGTAAAGTTATCCAAAAAATTGAACCTTTAGGAAATGTTTGGTACGTGGGTTTGGAGGGGTTTTGACTTATGGGTTGAAGACTAAACCTTCTTAAACCCATATTTGGTAGTTATGAATTTAACTTAGGGTTTAAAATCCGACCCAGTCATGAAACCCTTGTTTATGGGTTTCATGAAATTCATAAGGGGTTTCATATGTGGATTTGGTGGTTTCACATTCAAATGATATTTATACCCCTCATATATTCATACTCATATTTGGATTAAATTAATTAAAGGGCACAATAGTCATTTAAATACAAATATATTATCATAATAGTTATATATCCCTGCACATACCAAACATGGGTATAGAAAGTATTGAATATTGAATCCCTTCTTTAAATCCCATTTTTATTCAAAATTGAGTTTGGACAAACCAATCTAAACTCCTCCCAAAAAACATATCAAACAAGCCTTGGGGCTGTTTGTTACAAGAATTTGGGCGGATTATAGAAAGTGGGTTTAAAAAAATAGTCCAATCCCTAACCCAAATCCTTGTTTGGATGCTTCGAAGGTTGGACTGAAGTCCTGGCCCGAATTTGGCCTGCTTCTTAAACCCATGACACAAGCAATTCCAAGCATTAATTTCCATTGGATAATTAAAGATACAATTTATTTTTGGATGTACAATTATTTTGTATATTTTAATTTGTTGAATGTTATTTCATAAGAATGTTTCTAATGACTAATTTTCAGATTATGATAAGATTTCGCAAAAGAGATTATTTTATTGTGGTTGTGCGAAATGCATAAATTTTTATCAGGGGTGTCTCTTTCCTTTCGTTGCCATGCGTCTGTGCTAATTTATAATAGACAATGGACCTCTGTCGTGGTCAACATGATTCATGTAGATTAATTATGTGGGGCCTTAAGGTGATATGATTCCTCAAATTTAATATCACATCAGGAAATAAATATAGGTATCTAAGTTTTTTTTTTTTCCAATCATCAAAATTTAAAAATGTCTGGTCCATTTTATATACACTTGAACGTTAGTTTGAGTTAAATTGGTTAAATTGGTTAAGGAGCAAACAGTCATTTATATACAAATATATTATCATAATAATTATATATCTCTAAGCCTACTAAACACAAATATGAACAGTATTAAATCTTAAATCCCATCTTTGAGTTTGGAAGGATTTGAATAAGTCAATACAAACCCTTCCTAAAAAACATACGAAACAGCCCCCAAGAGACGAGAGATAGGGTAGATTAGTGTTAGATACAAATAATATATTCAACTTATTAATTTTTTAACTAATATTGTATCAATTATTTTAGAATTAGATTAATTTTTTTAACGACATGATGTGAAATTAACACGATAAATATAACTCAATTAACTCTTTTACAACACACTATGGGCTGAAGTTTGCAATCTTAATTACGGTTGTTAATTAAACAGAGTTACTCGAGTTTGGGTTCGGCTCATTTAGACTCTGTTCATTTTCTAAACGAGCCTAAATTTGAGTAAGTTTTTAGGCTTGTTTAGAAAACAAGCCCTATAAATTTGACTCAAACTCAACAAGCTCGACTTATTTATGTGCAAATACTGGGGTTCAACTCAGGTTCGGCTTGTTCAAGCTCGTCTCTTTTCCTAAATGAGCCAAACTTGAATAATTTTTAAAACTCGATTAAGAAACAAATTTTTCAAGTTCGGCTCAAACTCGACTCGGACTTGTTCGACTAACAAACCTAATCTTAATTAGCCTAACTTGGGCCATTCCTATGGGCCAAGTCTGGATTGTTTCCTAACTGAGAAGGGTTCGAGCTTGTTAATGGACTTCTAGCCCAATTAATTTTATTATGTGTACCGGCCAAAAAAATTTCTTTTTAAATTGTAGAATAAAGGAAA